AGGGTCTCTCATCGCTGTGTGCTCTGAGGTGCCGGTTTAAGCTAGTTCCTTGTTTAAAGCACTTGTTACATTGGCTACACTTGTAGGGCCTCTCATCACTGTGTACCCTGAGGTGGTGGTATAAAACTGATGCTTGTTTAAAGCACTTGTTACGTTGGCTACACTTGTAGGGCCTCTGTTCACTGTGAATTTTCATGTGCACAGTTAGAGCTGACTTTGCATTAAAAGCCTTTTTACAGGTTCTGCACTTGAATGACGTTCTTCGAGTCCTCTTCCCCGCGGCCATGTCTGGCAATTTAAAAGCAAGAAAAACAGCTTGCTTGAGTTTTTAACGGTGAAATGTTTTGCGTGGGTTCTACCGGTTGGTTGTTTGGGTTACCTGACATTTTTCGGAGCAACCTCGTCCCCAGGGCCTTTCCTTTTAAAAAAAATGGTCACGTGTCCCCTCGTACACCCTAAAATCCTGGGTGTAATAAATTAGCGGATAACACCCTCCGAGATCTCCATAATTCTTCATATGATACGAGAAACGAATTCAATAATTGTTTTATTATTCATTTAAAATAATTCCTAGTTTAAAAACAAAGCTAAAACATGCTTACCTCCATCGATGTTAAGTTCACCTTCGATAGTGCACGTTTGGAGTTGTTCTTCTCCAAATAGCAGATATCGCCCTTCGAGTTGTGTTTTTGCTGTTCTTGCCATGTTTTTAACTATAATTTCGCCTAGTTCTTAGTCTTGAAACGAGTGAAATGTCCGCCATTTTTTGTTTTCGCAACCAAAACAACTCAACCTCGCCCCAGGTCTTCTCGGTTAACGGTGCATTAACCTGCAAGAACGCAGCATTTTTGACGTCATTTCCTCGTTAAACACAAAATTCTTCCAAATTGGTCATCAGTAACTGGTTATGGTGAATTATGCGTGTGCTCTTAGCCAATCAGAATCGGGGAAGTATTTTGAATGAATAATAACTAACAATTATTCCTCGAGCACGAATGGGCTCTGAGTCAATATTCCATGAGGCCGAAGGCCGAATGGGCTATTGACTCAGAGGCCATGAGGGCGAAAGGAATAATTGTTTTAGTAAAATCCAACTAGTTGGTCAAAAATATCAAGAATAAAAAACATTTTAGCTACTTAAACCTAGACTTTAATCCTTTTTTGCCGCCAAAAAGCGCGCGCTTTTCGCTACTAGTAGGCTATAACATATAGCCTAGTAGTAGCTCAACCAATCAGAACGCAGCATTGATAATAGATCACTAGTTGGATTTTACTAATGCCAATTATACCACACCAAAAATACAGCTCAACATGCCGAAACTGGGGCGGGGCCGCTGTATAAATTATATTGTGGCTTAATTTATTCTTGTTTAAGAAATAAACCATGATCAACCGACACCCATTGTTCTTGATAGAGCAAAAGAAATAAATTATGATGTATACAAGCCTGATATTTTTATCGAAAACACTTTCAGTGAAGCTAAGATTTGAAAAAACTGAAATTCTTCTTTTTTTATTGAGTTCTTCAGTGAGGTACTAGGTGAGGTTAGAAACGCGAAAACCGTCTTAAACAGTGCAAAATCTCTTTTTAAATCATTGAACCACAGTTCTTAAGCCTAGTTTCCATATGATCGTCCGTATCGTCCCGATCACCCCAGTCGTTTCAAAATATTTCGAGACGATCCGGACGACTTGGGGCGATTGGTAGTTTCCATATGATCGTCTCGATCGCCTCAAAGGCAAGAGACGCGGGGTTGTCAGCGATGTCTCTGGGTCAGACAATAGAATTTTTGCGAGTGTTTTACAAACTGAAGCCACATAAATGGATGATTTTATTCGTAAAGCGAACCACGTACTTTGGTACCTGCTTTTTCTCTTGATTTTGCGACATTGAGAAGCTAGAAGAGTTCCCCGAAGACATAGTATTTCTTCAGAAACTTGATGTCACGGACTTTCTCTACTGATTTCAAATAACCCCCATACGCGCTGCGAACATTTGTGTATTATTTTTTCGGCTTCAGCGCCATCCGCGCCGAATTTATTCTTGATTACTGGAAACAAAGTGATGATTTCTGGGATAGCCTTCGATCATCCCGATCGTCTCAGTCGTCTGAGAGCGTTTCCATATGATCGCTTCAAACATGATCATCCCGATCGTCCGGGTAGTACTCAACTCTTTGCAAGCGATCGAGGTCGTTTCATTCGTCCGAGTCGTTTGCGATCGTCTGGGTAGCGTTTCCATATGATCGCCCTGAACGTCTTAACCTTTTTTGAGACGACTGGGACGATTGAGATGATCCGGACGATCATATGGAAACCAGGCTTTACTACAAAGAAGGCGCTGTGTTTACATGCGCTAACGAAAAGGCCACTTTTGTGATTAAAAATACATATAGGCATTGTAATCAGTTGCTTGAGGCCTCGAGATATTTAGGGGACTTGCCGTCCCACATGTAAGAAACATTCAATGACAGACTTTTGCAAAAAACCTTTTTAGACACTAGCAAAACTCTACGAAACAAGTGCTAAAGCTTTGTGGAAAGAAAGAAAGAAAGAAAGTGAGAAGAAAGCGAGAAGCAAGGAGGTTGGGGTAACAGACCTGGAGGTCGATGGCAAGTTGCTCTCTGATCTGATGCGCAATCTAAGGCTAATTCCTTGAACACCGATTCTGTCGCGTCTATGAGTGCAAAGATATGAATAACATCCCGTCTCTTAAGCCGAGCATTATCCCTGATATTGATGTACTAATCTTCAGCTGTAATGGCGTCAACTGCAATCTTTAAACGAAGGATGATAAAGCGCCTGGTCCTAACAACCTTTATCCTTGACTACTTAAGCTAGCTGCAAACGAATCCGGGATATTTTGCTTGTGGAATCCGGAATCCTGGGCTTTGGAAAACGTAACACAGCTCAAAGAATCCGGAATCCCGATAACGATAGGATACATAAGGGCGATTCTTACAATTAAGACCAGAATTCATTTTTTTTTTTCATTTGTGAATTTGGTAATGCGAGCAAAGCTTCAAGTTGTGTGCGATGCTATATCATCGGCCAGCCTCACTTTCAGGAGCTTGAGGCCGCAGTTCTGTTCTTAATACCTTGCCTTGGTAGCTAACCAGATGGCGAGAAATTCTCCCGGCTATGTCATTCACATTCTTCTCAAAATCCTAAAGTACATTGCTGGTACAACCTAAAAGTCGATAAAGAAAAAAGTATCGAACAGACGTGTCCTTAATTATAAGAGACTTATAGAACTGGTATATTCCATAAGATCTGGGGGCAGCTATCAGATCGACCTCCAAGCTTAGTACAAGACTTGCTTCGTAGTGTTGCAAAGTTCTGAATGGTGCCATTTTCTAATTTGTAGTTGATAGAAAGGCGCGAAGGGGATAAATAGGGGGAAATGATTACGCAACAATAGTTCACATTTCGCGGTCGAAAATGGGCCGTAGGGAAAACGCTAAGAAAAAAGAGGAATGCAAGTTACGGAAGGCGGGAGATTTGGACCCCACCCTGTCCCCACTAGTCTTAAGCTATGTATCAACGGTAAACACACTTAATCGTGTCCTTTAATTTTAAGCACACAACAGTTACAATACAATATTCCGCATCTTCAACGAGGAAAGTAAATGAAGTGTATTAGACCCTGTTTACACAGGTCTGGACAAGTTTTTAAGCGACAAATTTTAGACCAGTGCAATCCCTTTACACGGAACCGTTCAAATTCTGTTACAGTACTGTTTACATGAGTCCGTACAAATTTTTGCCAGTGTCAGCATTGGAATGGCCCTTTTTAAAAAAGGCGCCTAAGGCGCTTTTACCGCACAAATTGTGAAAAAATTGAACAGTTCAGGTGTTCACAAGTGAGTCAACGTTAATTAAAGTGAAGCCGCACCGGTAAACGAAAGGCGGATCCGTGCCCGTTTTTGTCTTCCTTTCAAAAACTTGTACGTCCCCGTATAAACGGGGTCTTGGGCTTAGTATCCTAGCCTCGTTGGCCGGTTGAGTATTTGACAAATTAGATTTTAACAGAACTCCAAAATGCGTTTCTTGTTATTACCAGTGAATGAGAGCTTACATTAAACTGCCGCTTATAAGCCCTGACGCTTAGTCAGGGGTGTTAGGAGGGATTATAAACAGAGCGGCTTGTACCTGAGGACGGTTATAACCGGGGTAAAATAGGCTTCGAAAGAGGCTATAACAGTGCTGATCAAAACGTGTTTTGCTTTTTCTGTTTTTAATACAAGCATAACAAAAATGACATCATACTATCGAATTCATATCAATAAAATCGGAGTGGGGGTGGGGGGAGTAACATCCGATGGGGCTTATAAAGGATGCTTTTTTTAGGGGTAGATAGCCTATAACTAGGGAGCGTTATAAGAAGGAGGGTTATGAGCGGTAGTTTACAGTAACTGTATACAACAAATAAATTGAACAAAGCAAAACTATCACCGTTGAGCGACTTCGAATTAAAATTCAAATCTTACAAAGTTCGATACCGCAATTACATATCCCGCAATTACATATCCCAAATTTACAAATTTACTATGTTTAGTGGAGGGAGTATTGCTAACTATGTTGCGGTCGTATCATTAAGCATTAACTACCCATTATAAACCGCATATCTGTGTTGCCTGAATCATGGCCGTAAAAAGGCATGTTCAACAGACTAAACTGAAACCAAACTACAACCAAACCAAGAATTATTCGGCTACAAATGTGTGCAAAACTGCATGGACGAACTGAAACTGAACTGTAACTCGTAAGCTCCCTGCGTTTGTACCGCTGCTCATAGGTCATTGTCATTTACCAAAGCACTCCATGCATTGGTAAAGTACTGTTGTTTATTATGATTGGGCTCTATGTATGGACGCCTTTTGTAACTTCATTTATCCTTGCATGTGCTTATACATGTGATAAAGGTATCCACAATGATCATAGCAGTATTCATCACACATCCAACAAGTGAATCTTTCTTTGTCTCTAGCAGATCGTTTCTCGCAATCATGCCTCTTCAGAGCATTGTCATCATTGAAACATTTACCACATGATTCACATTCGTGCGATGAATCGGAATGAAATTTTCTTTTGTGATAAAGCAGTGTCTGCTTCCGAGTGAAACGTTTGTCACACTGAGTACACTTGAAGGGTCTTTCTCCACTGTGTATCCGCTGATGGTCTTGCAAGTGAGAGAAGTATTTCAAACATTTTTTACAACGAGTACATTTAAAGGGCCTCTCTTTATTATGTATTAACAAGTGTCTTTTTAAGTGTGATGAATATCTGAAACACTTTTCACACTGAATACACTTGAAGGGTCTTTCTCCACTGTGTATCCGCTGATGGTCTTGCAAGTGAGATGAGCATCGGAAACATTTGTTACACCGAGTACATTTGAAGGGCCTTTGATTGTTATGTATCAACAAGTGCCTTTTTAAATGTGATGATTGTCTGAAACACTTTTCACACTGAGTACATTTAAAGGGACTCTCTTTATTATGTATCAACAAGTGCCTTTTCAAATCTGATGATTGTCTGAAACACTTTTCACACTGAGTACACTTGAAGGGTTTTTCTCCACTGTGTATCCGCTGATGGTATTGCAAGGTAGATAAGCGTCGGAAACATTTGTTACACCGAGTACATTTGAAGGGCCTTTGATTGTTATGTATCAACAAGTGCCTTTTCAAGTCTGATGAGTGTCTGAAACACTTTTCACACTGAGTACATTTGTAGGGCTTTTCTCCACTGTGTATCCGCAGATGGTTTTGCAAGTGAGATGATTGTCGAAAACATTTTTTGCACCGAGTACATTTGTAGGGCCTCTCATCACTGTGTACCCTGAGGTGCTGGTTTAAGCCAAATACTTGTTTAAAGCACTTGTTACATTGGCTACACTTGTAGGGCCTCTGTTCACTGTGAATTTTCATGTGCACATTTAGAGCTGACTTTGCATTAAAAGCCTTTTTACAGGTTCTGCACTTGAATGACTTTCTTCGAGTCCTCTTCCCCGCGGCCATGTCTGGCAATTTAAAAGCAAGAAAAGCAGCTTGCTTGAATTTTGCTTGGGTTCTACCGGTTGGTTGTTTGGGTTACCTGACATTTTTTGACGCTGGAGAGTCAACTATATGTGTATTCCACTAATAAGAACTAAAAGAAAATTATTTGTAGTAGTTTCAAATAAATATTTCTTTTCCATTATATCATTCTCTATAAATTTATCCTGGTTAATTTTTTACTAAAATTTTCTCAGTTTGATACTCATCAAATTCGATGTTCTGTTCATACGTGTGGCTAGCAGTCCAAAGATTGTATCAGTGAATCGATCAGAATAAGTGGTGCCTATGAAAATTAAAATCACTGTTCCGTTTCTGGCTGATTTAAGCAGCATTTTGTCGAGTTTTGCACCTGGGGAAATGATTACGCAACAATAGTTCACATTTCGCGGTCGAAAATGGGCCGTAGGGAAAACGCTAAGAAAAAAGAGGAATGCAAGTTACGGAAGGCGGGAGATTTGGACCCCACCCTGTCCCCACTAGTCTTAAGCTATGTATCAACGGTAAACACACTTAATCGTGTCCTTTAATTTTAAGCACACAACAGTTACAATACAATATTCCGCATCTTCAACGAGGAAAGTAAATGAAGTGTATTAGACCCTGTTTACACAGGTCTGGACAAGTTTTTAAGCGACAAATTTTAGACCAGTGCAATCCCTTTACACGGAACCGTTCAAATTCTGTTACAGTACTGTTTACATGAGTCCGTACAAATTTTTGCCAGTGTCAGCATTGGAATGGCCCTTTTTAAAAAAGGCGCCTAAGGCGCTTTTACCGCACAAATTGTGAAAAAATTGAACAGTTCAGGTGTTCACAAGTGAGTCAACGTTAATTAAAGTGAAGCCGCACCGGTAAACGAAAGGCGGATCCGTGCCCGTTTTTGTCTTCCTTTCAAAAACTTGTACGTCCCCGTATAAACGGGGTCTTGGGCTTAGTATCCTAGCCTCGTTGGCCGGTTGAGTATTTGACAAATTAGATTTTAACAGAACTCCAAAATGCGTTTCTTGTTATTACCAGTGAATGAGAGCTTACATTAAACTGCCGCTTATAAGCCCTGACGCTTAGTCAGGGGTGTTAGGAGGGATTATAAACAGAGCGGCTTGTACCTGAGGACGGTTATAACCGGGGTAAAATAGGCTTCGAAAGAGGCTATAACAGTGCTGATCAAAACGTGTTTTGCTTTTTCTGTTTTTAATACAAGCATAACAAAAATGACATCATACTATCGAATTCATATCAATAAAATCGGAGTGGGGGTGGGGGGAGTAACATCCGATGGGGCTTATAAAGGATGCTTTTTTTAGGGGTAGATAGCCTATAACTAGGGAGCGTTATAAGAAGGAGGGTTATGAGCGGTAGTTTACAGTAACTGTATACAACAAATAAATTGAACAAAGCAAAACTATCACCGTTGAGCGACTTCGAATTAAAATTCAAATCTTACAAAGTTCGATACCGCAATTACATATCC